TTCTACTTTGCTGGTAGTGAGTAATAATAGAAGACAAAAACGTAAAGCATTTGGTTGTCGTAAAACATTTTCCTTTAGAATTACAAGGAATTAAAGACAAATAATTCTCATCAGTTCATATGATATTACAATCAGCACATCCGTTTAGTAACCAGAAAGTCTCAAATTCGATTTTTAACGATGGTTCGCTGTATATTTTTTAATGTTCTGAGATTTGAATTGAGACAGCTAAGTTTCGTCGTTGTTGAAGTTTAAAGGGAATTCTTCAAACTAAATTCGGATCAACTGGTTGTTAAATGCGGTAAAATATTTTATAAGTAATTTCAATTTCGTGATACCTAGAACAAAGAATTACCTCAATAATTGGCCAGTGTATATTTATAATGACCACACTTCTTTTTTTTTTTTCAATAAATAGAGAATAGAATACAGAATTCAGAGAAGAAATTAAATAAAATATATTGTACGCTTTTCTTATTTAAAAGTTGCCTCAGCATGTGTTCAGTAGTCTATACAGAGTGATTAATCTAAGTTTGTGCAAACTTCAAGCAGATGGAAAATTGCTCAAAGACATATCGGAATCACCCAGGAACGCAGGATCGGAAACGCCGTTTGCAGGAATGGTGTTAATTAACTGCGATTATGCTTGACCATCTAGCTGGTACAGTGATTAAACGACGCTGACTGCCGCAGCAATGCGTAAGATTTCGAATCACGGAGAAGGCAATGATGTTTGTAAGCGCATAGTATCTGTGCGGCAAGGATCCACTCAAAATACAAGGTGCACCTAAAGTCCTTTCGAGAAGTTTTTCGTAAAACAAAAGAAGGGTAGGAGATCCTCGGACTTCCTTCCAGGTGTACGTCCTTAAAATGAGGGCAGAACTGCATAGTTAGAGTGGCGAGACTATACGACCAATGGTGAAATTCTGTTGTCCTGTCTACTTTTACCTGCACTTTCGCTTATATGTTCTTTGAATTTGCCATAATTTATAAACCAGTCACACAGTTAGTAAATGGCTGAGTTCATTAAATGCGTCTTGATTGTTTTTGGAATTAAATGAAAGGTTCGGTGATCGACATCTCCGTTGAACGTGATAAGGACTTTGCAGCAAGACACACATTTGTTGTTGTTTAAGAAATTCGAGACATGGAAGGAAGTTTCCAGAGTGTTTGCAATTCCATGGGCCGGAGGCGTTAAAAGTGCATTTCAGGCTATGATCGCAACTTTTGATTAGATATACATTCTGTAATTTCAATGCATTTTTCAAATATCTTGTGAATAATAAAAAGTATTTTGTTTATCTTATATGCTTCGATTCTCTGTGCACATAAAGACACAATGAAAATGTTTCCAACTCTATACTGTTACACGATTATTACGATTTGTCTTTGTGCAAATCGCTGCTCAAAGAAGTTTGCACATGCTTAGCTGAATCACCATGTGTATCTGATTTTCCTTACAATAATATGTGAAATAACAGATGCTGTATTTATTTCTTTTTTAAGTACTATATTAACACCGTAAATCGCTGTATTTTCTCCCACCTATGTATTTAAACATTATGAATCAATTGAAAAATGCCTGAGATACTTAAACGATATCAATAAATTAAGGAAAAAATTACTGTTTCTTTCATCAGAAAAATGCATATATAATTTTCATAGTTCATGTTTTGCAAATGCCTATAACAGTTGGTGAAGAGAAACATTTTCAGATCCCGAAGCTTTAAATTTTGTGTAAAGGAATTCTGTTTATTGTAATTTGCATAAAGGTACCGGCTGTTAATACGCTTTTCAAATAAATCTTAATACACTTTATGTTTATATGATTTGTTTAAGTAGAATATGTCTGCGCTCGCTCAATAAATCCAGATTAGGAGCTGCATGATCTATTAAATGGTAAGTTCAATCGGCTAAAACACGGACGACAAATTAGAAACGAAGAATTGATCTGATTCGTTGCTGTAAAATCACGCTAATGAAAGTCTGTTGTTAAAATGCATAAAGAAAAACGTACTGTATCACATACTCTACCACTTTCGTTTTCGCTTTTACAAAGCCATTTCCTTTAAATTGCCGATAGCAGTGACACAATAATGGACGACAGAATGCCATCTAGGTTTCGCTCCAGAAACGTGATAATTTTATGTCAAAGTTACCGTGCGGAAAATCCAAAGGAAACGGATCAGAATAAATACCTGCTATTGAGACTAAAATGCTTGTTTTTACTGAAAGCTATATTCTTGACCAGTAATTAAAAGCATATGCGATATGTAGACATTTCAAATAATTGTTCTTAAAGTTTTGACCCCAGTGATTGATAACTTATGACTATTAGCAAATAAAATCTCAGTATGGTACCAGACCTATTTTTAAAACTAATTACGCGGATCATTTTGCATTTTATGAAAAACTAGTTTACGCGGAAATCTTTTTAACAAGAAGAAAATTCGCAAACAAGTTATTACTTCCGACAAATTAATTGCTTTAATCACATCATTTAGTTACGTAATAGGATATGAACGTTTACCAGTTCTTTAGCATTTAATAAACCTAAACAATTATCAAAGAATATGCTGTGATTAAAAACAGTTAAATTTTTTTTGGGGGGAGGTAATATATTTCATTCTACTTATTTGTTATTTGATGATCAAAGAATTATGGGCTTGTATGTGTAATTTATAGATGTTACAGACTTCTAAAACATTTGAAACTTTTTTTAAAATTACTTTTAATTCATAAATTTTACTTACCTGATATAGCACCGATTTTTTTCTTATAATGACATAGGGTATAAAACAATAATTTTTATTCCATAAAATAACAGCTTATTCATTTCAAAATAGATTTATTTAATAAGCAGTTTAACTTTATTTAAATAAAATTTTTAATGAATTCATAAGTTGTTTCTTTACAGCAGTCATGTTAACAGATTCATTATTTTTCAACTAAACATAATTTTATGCCGATTACCTATCTGGCTTTATTGCTCGTAAAATAAGATTGGAATAATTCATTTTTACATCATAATTGACACCTTATGCAGCAAATAATTTCTGCTTCTAATTTAAAAGATACATTTAATCAATAAAATATCATTACAGTTCGAGAAAACTCGAGATACTTGACTGTTAAGGATACTTTGATGTGTGAATAGAAAGTTTACCAAATCCAGATCAGCTGTAGACTTTAAAATTTAGCAACACATTATTTACTTAAAGGCTTATTTTTTCTGAAAGCCTGATAGCATGTAATTATTTTCATAAATTTTGCTTAGCTTGATAAGCGATTAATTAAATTCGACATGCTCAACTTCCTTACAAGTAAATATGTTTTCTATTATTTGCAACTTAAGAAATTTAATTTTGCATTATTTTAAAACATCGAGTTTTGCTGCCGTAATATAATTTCTATACTAAATTAGATTTACTGATTTATTATCCAAAATGAAATTTTATTTAAAATACATGAGAGAGATATTTCATTCATTCCTCTGGAGTAAATGATCATAGGGATTAATTATGAAATGAATGAAACGAGATGATTCTTGCTTTAGTGCAAATAAATTTGGTAGTAAAATGTCAATGAAAAGGTAAAACGTTTTATTAATGAAGAGGCCGAATATATAATTGAGGTTTCGAATCATTCATTTTCTATGAAAGAGTTGATAAAAGTGTAATTAATGAGAATATTCAAAACCTTTTGAAATTCATTTTGAAAACAAAAAAGCCTTTTGAATTGTTATATATATAAACATTCAGTTTCACTCTTCAGTGTTCCATGAAAATATCTGCTAATTTTTTGTATATTCATTTTTGAAAGTTTCATTGAATGCTTTTTAACTAGTGCAGTTGTATTCTCCTAAGGCCTTTCAAAATGAAACATTTTAATTCTTCATAATTTTAATTTTAGTCTCGGCAATAATCTTGTTGTCTTATTATTTATGTAGACCTGAAAGCCTCATTTAAAAAGGGTTACTTAAAGACCCATTTTAAATCATAATTAAGAAACAAAAAATGTAAAATATTAAATTATTTTAACTATTATTTTAAGAAGTTACAATAAATAGGAAACGAAATTCATAAGCCTAGATTTTTAAACTTTTTGAATGGAATGAATTATTTCCGATGAAAGGTTTAAGTATGAAGATATATGACTGCCTTTTTGAAAACTGTGCTGATTTATTGAACTACACGAAACTATACGGTTCATTGAAATATGTTTTAGTTACTGCCTATTACAGAATTTCTTATGTTGTAAAAAAGAGGTACTAATACTTCTGTTAAAATGTAAATTTGCGAAGAGAAAAAATATTAATTGTGTAACTTCTTGGTATCTTTTTATTTATTTTTTTTTGCTTAGGATACTTTCAAAACTTCATAAAAATATTGATATGGGAATGAAAACCATGCTACCAATATGTTTTGACGTAAAGTGGAAGGGTAAATACATTCGTGAAGTTTACCCCCAACATGTAATACCAGAGAAATAATAAATATTTATATTCTAAGGTATGTTTGTTTTTATTTTGGAAATGAGCGGTATCTATGGAACAGGTGAACAAATTTATTTGAAAAGACATCATGCACTGGAAGTATTGCAAAAACTGATTAAATATAGTTTAAAACCTTGAATAAATCTATTTTCTAGATATGATTTTGGAATATAAAGTTGAAGTTTTATGTATTCATATCCATAATTCGATAGTTTTCATATGTTTCATTTTTTATGTTTACTTTTCCTATGCAATTTTTATTTGTAAAAACTAAAAATCTTTTTATAGCATTGTACAATTTTAATCCAGTAATCTGGCTTCTCTAAAAACTTGAAAGTAAAAATTATCAGTCTTTCGCTGTATAACGTGAAGCAGTTGGAATATATTTTTAAGTTAACGTTTTCAAATATAGCAAATTATTATTAAATATATTTAAAATTAGTCAAATCCATCTCCAAGCCCTAAGTCATATATTTAAATTTGAATTCTCTCTTTCCCACACTAGGAAAATAAATTAAGTTTGAAAGCTTCTGATAACCAGAACTTAAGAAGAAAACTTTTAGGAAACAATCTGATTGTAGATTCGTTGGCAAGTTGAAAGCTGTAAGAATCTTGAAACCCCTGGTGAAATACTAACAGAAATTGGAAATGTAGAAAGAAATAGATGTAGCTGAAACTCTTGCAATCAGCTTCAATAATAGGTAAGGTTTTATTATTGTTTCAATTCAAATACATTTTGTTAAAAATACTTGAATAATAAATATCTAACAACGCTCATGAGTATCATTGTAGAGTTCCTCACTTTGTAAATGCTAATTTACAGTTGAAGGTGAAGAACCTTAACTGATAAGCGAATAATCGCTTGAGTTCGTGTGACAAGAAAAAACAAGATGGAAGGGTAAATAACCCTTTATTATTCAAATCAGATTTAACAGAAGTCCGTCTTGGAGTGTACAATAAAAGCCGACACTTGGGCTTTAACTTAAAAAGCTAAGAAGTAAACTAAAAGTAATCTAAACTAAAAAGATACAGCCAAAGCTATCAAGATTCTAACCGAGTTGGCCCCTTAACGCTAATTGGCTGTGAAGCTATCAAGGGCCTGAGTACGGCCGAGCATAATAACAGCTTTGAGAGAGAGTAGACAAAAAGGCGGTCGCGCGCTAATCAGAAACTCTATTTTTCTCAGCAAGTAGAACTACGCGGTTAAATACCACTCCTCCTCATGATATATTCAGACGTGATTCTAAAACTACGTTCTGGCCGGAAGTAGTAAGTTAAAACTAAGAATGACAGGAAAGGAACTTAAAATTTAACTGTTAATAAAATTAACATAATTCTTACAACATTATAAATTAAGAATCAAAAGGGAGCAAATCACTAATGCCTCAAACAAGTAATAATTCTTTATTCCCGCTATATTTTGAGAAAGTTCTAATCAAATGAAATGTGAGAATCATTTTCATTAGTTTGTAAGATGATGTTTTGAATTTAAAAACATTTTGATTTCACAACTCTCTTTTTCCATCAAAACACTAACTCGTGATTTTCTGCTATCATGAATTATAAAATAGTACACTAGTAAGGTAGATGACTGTTAGCATAAATTTAGGTATTTTTGGATTATGAAACTCAAAAGCATAAAAGCGAACGTGCGCCAAGCCATATATTGGCGAGAGAATGGGCAGGCAGGGGGGCATTCGATTCTTACCTTAGCTACTTATACCTGGCCAAAGGTCTAATTCAGTTAGTGTTTTCTCTTTCAGGTGCTGTGTCAAAGGATGTCTGTGTCTCAATTTCTTATTGCCTAAATAGGTAAGCCTGATGATTTAGGACTCATGATGGTTCTATTCGATACTATAACTTATTCTCTCAATACTTCAGTTTTTAATGTCTGTGAAGATTGTTTATTTAATTGGTGTTCCACTTAAGTTAAGCAGAATTCTCATACTTGTTAAATAAAGATTTTGTAGTTACTTTGACTATGATTCTTTGATTAAAACTGCGCTAAATAGAGGAAACGTACTCATGCGTAATACAGCAATGACTTTCATCCTTGCTAGCGCGCGGTTAACTTAGTGCCGTTAGCCTTTTGAACCGCACATAATAGCTTTTATGCCATATAGACTTATTCTCTTTAAAATTAACTCGCTATAATACAGTATAATATAGTAATGAAATATTTTTTAAACCAGATTTCCTGACAGTAAGGAACACTACTCATGAAAATAATGAATCACATTTAAGAATGTATTTTTTATTTTATGCGAACTTTGCAACATTTAAAAAAAAAAAAACGAGATCAAGGTAAGGCCATAAGCATATTGCTCCAAGTTGCTCAAAGGAAATCGGAATATCTCGCAGAATTATTTCTAATTGTTTAACCTTGATGATATCCTCCTCCATGTCCATAACTTCCTCGGTCACCTTGACTACTTCCACGGTTTCCACCGTATTGTCCACCACGTTGTCCTCCGTGCTGGTTGCCATATCCCCCATGACCACTGCTCTGTCCACCGCGCTGTCCTCCGTGTTCGCTGCCATATCCTCCGTTCTGTCCACCGCGCTGTCCTCCGTGCTCGCTGCCATATCCCCCATGTCCACTTTGCTGTCCACCACAATGTCCTCCGCTTCCGCTGCCATATCCCCCATGTCCACTTTGCTGCCCACCACGATGTCCTCCGGTTCCGCTGCCATATCCTCCGTGCCCACTTTGTCCTCTATTTCCACCACCATATCCTCCACCACGACGATCTCCACCAGATTGTGCAGCTCGCTTGTTGACTTCGTGAGCAATTCCGCCACAAGCTAAGGCCAGCATGGCTGACAGGAAAATGGCTAAAACCTAGATTAAAAAAAAGGAAAGGAGATGCATGAATATTTCTTAGCTATATTATAAAGGATAATATATCGAAAAGAAACTAATGGGAAGGAAATGAATATTAATTTTTCGTACATGAAACAGAAACTTTACTAACTTAACTAAAATGCGATGCAAATTAATATGTACTTCATTTAGATGGGCATCCTTTAAATGTTCCTTTACCGTTTGAATTTATACTGAAGTCTAATTGCAACTGAATTAGATCTTCAGAAATCACTGGGGACAAGTAGAATTACTTTAGCAATTGCATCTCTGGGTATTAGACTAACGCAGAAGCAGGAAAGCAAATCGAAGCACTTTAGGCTAAGGGGCGTAGTTTCTCTTTAGACATGGAACAATCGCTTATTTGGAAAGAGATAAATTATCAGTTAAGGTCTTAAGGTGGTAAAGAGTTGATGATTGAGTTTATTAATTACTTATTTCTTGTGTACCTCCTCCCACACCAAAATGGCAAAGGAATCTAATGCCAAAGGAAGCAAAAATTAACTATATGAAATAAGTAAAACGTACACTTCTTATAAGCTATGGCGCGGAAAAGAATGAAACAAATTTGAGATTTTTTAAAAGTTAAGAATGAAACCAGTTTGAGAACAATTACTTACATATTTTCATACAAAATTAAAACGTACATCAAGACATTATTCAAATAGTTTGTTTTCGATGAACATAGTTAAACTGCTGTTATTATTTTGGGCCTAGGTTAAGAAGATTTATTCTAGCTGTCTTCTTGCATGTTTCTACTGTTTCTTTAAAACATTACTTTAGTATTCCAAAATAAATTGTCTTGAACTGAGTCATTTTTCTCCATTCAAATACTTACTTTTAATAATATCTCAAAATCTTTCGATACCTCTAGTTTGGGGCACTGCGGAGCTCATTATGCAATTTTGTAGCAAAATAAAGTTTTCTGGTGGTTCAGTTAGTTGATTTAAAATCTAATAAACTATTTAAAGTTCAATTCAAATAATTAATCATAATACTTGGAAGATAAACAAAATATCTTTGTTTTCATGATTTTGTTTGGCAAAAGGAAGAAGCATTTTTGATGTACTGATTTAAATAAATATAATAGTTTATAATTTTTTGAAACACTGGTTAAGATGCATTGTCTTTTGGTTTGTGGCGTTCCAAACCATCAGTTTCTCTAGAAGTGTTTCATTAGGCCTTAACCTGAGCTGCACAGATTGTCAGGGAACTTTGAAAGATAATATTTAGTGAAACCATTCAAATAAGTAATGTACTAATTAGTCCATCTTTTGTGAAGAACTCCTGTACAATTTCGGATAGAATTATAAATTTTAAGGCAATTTTTTTCACTTTAATATTTTGATAACATTTTTGATTTTGGAGCAGTCGTTTTAATGTAGGATTTTAAATCTAGATTTTCCTTAACTTACTATAGGTAAACTGAGCTATTAGAAGCTTTGAGTCAACGCTTAGTTAGGCAAATTTGAATAGTCTCAATCTACGAACTCATTTTAAATTTTAAATTCACTTTTTAGTTATTAAACACCCTTAAGTGGCAGAGTTTGATTGCAAGCGTAAATTGTGCTTTCCGTTTAGTTTTAATAAAAGGTTTTTTTAAACGTTCATAACAATTTATCATACTTTTATAGAAGGAGCGATAACTTGCTATGCAATCTAGTAGGGTGTGAAGAACATGTAGGTTACATTACTAAGTTAAGATTTTATAATTCGAGCCCAATAGTCCAGAATTATGGCCAGAAATTACGCGATATTCAGCCTGCCTCCCCTAACACTCCAAATTACTGTAACACAGGCAAGACTTATCAAAGGGTTTGGGTACATTTTGGAAACCATGCGAGCATCTATGAAGACAGCTAGCAGCTTCGATAGTAGAAGTTCGATTTTGAATTTGTAAAATTACTTTTCATTATACCCGGTTGGTGAGGTGCAGAAGGTTGCTATAGCAACTGCCGCGCTGCGAGATCAAGCTCTAAGTTGGTACGAAACCATTAGAGAATATCTGCTAGATAAACTGGGTAGCGAGAATTAAAAATTCAATGTATTTAAAGCTGCACTGGTTAGAGTATTTCGTGGGGTTAGAGACAAGGCGAGGTTGAAGTCTGAATTGTATGTGCATGATTAATATCAGATGCACAGGGATGAATTAATTGCTTTTATTTTAAGGAAGGTACAAATAATCGAATTGTTATATAGGAGAGAACCCGATGTGGGGATCATTGAAGTGATATTGCACAGGTTGTTGCCGCACGTACAAGACTTCCTAGAATTGAGAAACCTAAGTATCTTAAAAAAAATTGTAAGAACTAGCTTAAAATACGAAATTCGACGTGATTCAGAGAATATGCGTAGGCGAGAGTGCGCAGAAAAATTTAGGAAGACGTCTAAGAAGCCTGTAGCTGACAGAGGTGATACGTTTCACGGAAGCAAAAATTTCAGAGTACGGCAGAAAAGTTTGTTCGCTAAGATAAAAATAAAAGCAGTTAAGATAAGAAGGGTATTGAAGAGAAGGAGATAAATTTAAGCTAAGAAGGGGTGCTGTGAGTTAGAAGGGTCAGTCACTACATAATAAAGGAAAAGGCCTCTCATTCAACTGAATACCGTTTTAGTAGAGTAGAGAGAGTCATCTAGAGTTGTTAAATACGTGAATCGCGTTAAGCGGAATTCCATCAATGGGTTTGTTATATGCAGGGGTGCAAAGTAGCATTTTGGCTGAAAAGTAGTTTATGACAAACATTCGAAAATATAGGTTTTATGACATTACAGAAAGAGAACTGAAAATAGCGCAAGGTAAATATTGTAAATGCGCAAGGTGTGTGACGTTGAATGTATAGATTAAGAACGAGCAGCATAAGGCGTGATTTTTGGGGCTAGAAATTGGCAGATAAGAGGGATTTGGGACTAGATTTTAGCTGATGTGCAAATTAATTTTCAGGTATAGATTGTGCAACTGAGGATAAACAGGGTAAAGGAATAAGATATAGAGCTGTTGGATTTGGACTTTAAAGAATTGGCCTTTGGAGAAGAAGTAAAAATTGGAAGATTGGATGGTAAGAAATTTTAAAGATTTATTTAATGAGACCCTCGGGCTAACCCATGTCATAAGATTAACACGAGAGACAAGCCCTCGTATAACGCGAAACTCTACAGCTGCTATAAGGTGAAAGAAGAAATAATTGAAAAGCGGATTTCGGAAACATTAGAAAACAAAGTAATAACCACTAAGAGTAGTGTCCTGTAGATTTCTGTAGAAAGAAGAGTGATTTACCTTTCACCGATTTATAAGGCCTGAGAATTAACTACCGGTTGTAAGAATTTAAGCAGCATAACAAAACATCCACAAAAGTCCACAAAATGTATGACCACATTTGATCTCACATTTGAGTATTTTCAGATATATTTGAAATCTGAGGAAGTGCCGAAAACGGCATTTATTATTAATTTAGGTATATATGCGTTTCTAGGATGCCATTTGGCCAATGCGAAATGCATTCTGCATTTTAGAAAACCATAGACATAATCTGAGGCCCGTACTAGACGAATCAACCTTTATACACTTAGATGACGCAACAGTCCCTGGAAACAAATATGATGAGCACGATAAGGATTCGCTCAAAGATTTTATGCTTCTGAAGAAGCAGGGTTAAAAGTGAATGCAGTAAAATGTCAATTCGCGGACAACGAACTTCAGTACTTAAAATATAAAAAGCATGAAACAGAACTAGAAGAATAAGCGTTCTAGCGATTAAATAGTTTATCTGTTTAAAAATATTTATTTTATCACCCACCTAATACTCCAAACAAAATCAACATTTTTGTTCCTATTATACAAAATTCGTTAAAGATTTCACTCACATAACAAATCCTTTATTAAATTTTAAAAAGAGAGCTAGACTTGGTTACTTGGCTAGCAGAAGTGAATACAACTTTTTTTTAAACTCAAAGCTGCATTAACTTAAAACAAGGTCTTGAAGTTTTCGGATCTGAAGAGCAAATTAGAAATCCTCTCACACGCATCTGATTTTGCGCTAAGAGCTGTGCTTATGCAAGACGAACAACCGGTAGCGTATTTTAGCAAAACACTTAACCCAGCTCGAAGGTATTATATCACAATCGAGAAGTAAAATTTAGGGGTCTTTATTGTCTGTTCAGAAATTTCGAGTTTACTTCAGAAAGGAACCTATTAGCGTATATACGGAGAACGCCGCAACATTACGTCTGTATTCCAGGCAGAATTTATCGCCAAGACTGATAAAAAGTTTTTTTACAAGAATATAATTTGAAAATTAAGTGTATCTCGGAGGAAAAATAATGTTGTTGCGGATGCATTATCAAGAATTAAGCTAAACAACGATGAGAAAAAATAAAATGTTAACGTAATCAGTTTTAGATTGAGCAACAATTACTGCAGAATTACATTAATTATCCAAAATTAAAAAAATATTTATGATTATTCGAAGGATCCCGATAACCTTTGAGCATTATGACCTAAAGGGAATTAAGAACAGGGTTGGAACCTGAAAAAGAGTAGAAAATCTTGTTTTATTGAACAAATGAAGGGAACAAATAATAACAATGAAAGGGGAAACAAATGGAACCAATGAAAATACCTGCTACTGAAGGCCAGCATAGCCACTAAGTATCAAAGCAAAGAATTATGACTTGATATCCCAGCTAGTTTGACTGAGTATTTTTCAATAATTGCATGATGCACTATTATGAGGCTATCGTGGAATGACTAAGTTCACAGAGAAAGGGAATCTGGTTATTTTCCTCAGCTGCAAACATTTGTGAGTGAATATGTCAAGTCGTGAAGTATCTTTGGATATTAATTTCTCCTGGGTACCTAAATAGCATAAAAGCCTCATTCTGTAACGAAATCTTAAAAATTGATTTGTCAAGCCGTTAGCCTCGTTTCGAAAAAAATAAAAACGCATATTTGCTCGTGACTACAGATCACTTCTCCAAGTTCTACT